CGCAAAGCGCATCATGCGCATGATACATCCTGGTATCCTTATTGTTCATCAAATGTTAAACAAAGATAAAAAGATAAATCTTGCGCATAATGCGCTTTGCGGAACGCAGCCACTCTGCAATTACCTCCGGGTCCCCCGGGCCCATTGGCTGGCACGAAAATTTGCCCACGGCTGATGGTCTTTAACAGTAGTTCGTCGATGGCTGTGCTTACAGCGCTTTCGAGAGCAGTATAGCAAGCGTTTATAGGTATGATTTGTTCCGCGGCTAAACCTCATTAACAGGTATTACGCTATTATTGTCGTTGTAATACTAATTAGAATTTTATAGACGTGTGATGTTAAAAAAAACATAAATGTTAAGACATAATTCAAATTGGCGTAAGGTATATCGGATTGGTTTACCGAGTTAGATTGATTCGAGGAAAAGTTGCGAACTACGTAATTTCATGTTTTCAGAGGTTAGACAAACATGATATATAACTTTTTGCAGAAAAGTAATTTGTGCACCTTTGTCCCAAATTAGTGGCTTGTATCAATATTATATTAACATCGTAATAATCTAATCTAATTCAATCTTGCATATAAGAAATAACTGTCAAATATGTTTTTAATGAGACACACCTTTCTATGTGAGCATGTAGTTTGCTATTAGTGCTTCGCCTTTGATACATACATTATTTTATTATTTATTCTTTTTATTATTTGTGTGATTTGTTATTAGTATGCCAACTAGAAAAACTGTCTAGCTCTTCTGTTCTAGCTTTTCTGCTGGAAAATAAATATTTAACAGAATAAGCCTATTGAGGTTAAAAGACGATAGTTGGATATTTTTACATCTTTGTTTCTTTTTTCTCTCTCCCCTATTTTTATAATTATAACTTGTATTTTTTAAATTTCAACTAATATTTATGTATTTTGATTTTAAAAAATTAAAAATTTTTGTAAAAATCAATAGTGAATTGTTAGTAAAAACCCGCTAATAAAATTAATATTCGACATAATGTGATTGCTATTGAAAGAATAGTAGCCTATTTTGTAACTCTTAGGTAATGTCAGTGTTATCATTGTATCATTGCGCAAAAGCTATTTCTATAATTCTTAACGATAATTTATTGCCATTGAGCAGCTTTTTTATCATATCTGTGCACCAGTAATATAACAATAATGACACTGTCATTAAGTCATAGAATCTATAGCTACAGGTATAATATATGACAAAAAAGTTGTGCAACAGTATAACGGTAGTGACAAGAGTTATATTAAGAGAATAGGCCTACAGGACTATTGAAAATATTTTTTCAAGAGGCTTTGAAATTATTATTAATATATTTTCTAATATAACAGTAACAACTATCTTGTCATAGCTTTCGCTAGACTTTGTCAAAAGAATTAATATATTAATTTATGCAAAAAACTAAAAAACTGGAATTTGCATTTTTTTTTAAGAATCCTTGTAATAATCTAATTACCTTGAATGTGTATAATTAATGAACCTCTAATAAATGTTATTAATATTGTTTTTAGAGCCAGAGTAAAAGTAACATTGCTCTCAGCAAAAGATTGTCATATCTGTTGCGTCATGGGGCTATAAGAGAAGGCTTAAATATTAAACCGAATGGTTTTGTCGCAGTTACTGAACTACTGAATAAATCACTCCATCATTATACTATTGACGACATAAAGAAAGTAGTGAAGGAAAATAACAAGCAAAGGTTTACCCTTGAGATTATTAATGGTATTTTGGAGATTAAGGCAAATCAAGGTCACTCTATATCCAAAATCAATGAACTGAGTTTGAAAATACTTGACTCTGTAGACTTTGATATAATTCATGGAACCTATTTTAAGTGTTGGCCAAAGATAAAAACTGATGGTCTATCACGTATGAAAAGAAATCATATTCATTTTGCAAAGGGATTAAATTTCATCAACGGTTTACGTCAAAACGCGGAACTGTTTGTTTACATCAATTTTAGAAAAGCAAAGGAAGATGGCTTAGTATTTCTTGAATCCGACAATGGTGTTGTTCTCTGTGCCGGAAATTCAAAGGGATTTATCGAAACGAAATATTTTTTAAAAGTGATTACTGGAGATGGTCAAACATTGAATCTTAATTAAAAATACTGAACTTTTTAATATTTTTATATAGTGAATTTTTTAAGGAACTAATAATTACTGCATGAGAAACGGAAAAACAGTATACAATAAATTACAATTATTTCCATAACTTTTAACCATGAACTCAAAACCATACATTGAATCTGTTAAATATAAAAACAAACAAATCGCTACGAGCTCAAGACATCAAGAAGCAAGATCGGAACAAAAATCACATGAAGATCAGCATTATGTACCAGAAAGGTCACTTTGTGTTGCACCTCTACCAAGAACTGTGTCACCAGAAGATTTAGTAAATTTTTTCCATCAATTTGGAGCAGTTAAAAGACAACATTTTGGACGGAATTTCTTTCGGATTGAATACAATGATAGGTAATAATATAATAAATATTTATGATAATCAAAACATATAAAAATAAATTTTATCTAGTTTGTGCAAATATTTGTACATTCTATTTTTTAAGGTGAGAAGAGAGCTAGTCACAGAATAGTTTTAGTTTTTTAATTATACATAGAAATTATTTGTTTATTTTTTTTACTTTATAAAAATGTAAATAGATAAAATCTATTATCGCTTTTTTCTTTTAAAATATAAAAAAATAAAACCATTTATAAGTTCTATCATAGAATTACAGGTGATTATACAAATATACAATAATTCACATACTTTCAAATATTAAGAACATGTAGAATAAGTTTTTCCTCTTTTTACTCTCTAATTTTTTAGAGCAAATTTGAAACATTTGGAACAAATATTTATTCTCTGTTGTTTATTATAATTAACATTTAAGAAAAAGAGAGCACGTATTCTTAACAACTAGGAACATGTAAACAAATATGTATGTTACTCTACGAAATATTGCATTTATGTTTTGTTATTGCATTGCAGCAAACCTGTTGATATTTTAATGAGCAGATCAAATTGGCTACCAAATGAAAAATTATGTTTAAAAAGACTGAAGAAAAATGGAGAAAATTTCGACAAAAGTAAATATCACAGTTATCTCAAATTTAGCAATATATACAATTACTCTTTACCCATTATTTTTCTACAGAAATAATGTTATATATGTTCATTTTTGTTTCACAGTGCCACAAAAACACACTAATACGGGCCCGAAAAGAACTGAGAATAAACCTGAAGAAGAAGAGGATCCAATAAGTTACGACCGTATAAAGGATGCTATTGAAAAGGAAGTGACGTTTGACAACCAATTGGCGGCACTTTTAAATGCAGTACAGCTTACCGAATTTGAATTGGCAACAAGATATAATGTCATTTGTACTCATTTGGACGAAATATTCAGATCGGTTTTCCCAGAATGTCGGACATACAGATTTGGCTCAACACTGGCGCAATTGAGTTTTAAAGAGAGTGATTTGGATATCTACATGTACGTCGGTAAAGCCGGTAAGAGATTTTCCAATTTTGCTATTTTTGTGTATGAATATATCCGTTGCCTGTTAAATAACATCTTTTTCTGTACAAGGTTTACCGCCGATGTATCACAAATCGGATATACCATCACACATATGGACGCCAATGATCTTCAAGAGAGTGAGAAGAGTTATGTACAGCATGAAATTTGTATTTGCCAACATAATATCAATCCCTAAAGCGAAAACACCTATTATAAAGTTTCGTTATCTGCCGACTAATGTCTCCTGCGATATTTCCTTCAAAAATGGCCTAGGCATCTATAAGAGTAACTTCCTGTGGTATTGTGCGTCACGCGATCCTCGGTTAAGGCCGTTAATGCTGCTCATCAAGTACTGGGCGAGGCACTTTGGAATTTCGGGTAGCGGAAGGATTTCCAGTTACGGATTAGTGTTACTGATTATCTTTTACCTCCAGCAAGAAACAGTTGGTCTCCTTCCGCCTTTGTTACATCTTCAGAGAAATTGCACCCCGCAGATTATGAACGGATGGCAAGTGAACTTTGATGAAAGCACTGCGTTACCACCCATTACCAACAGCAGTAATATTGCAACACTGCTTCACAATTTCTTTTCCTTTTACGGTCAATTCAATTTTAACTTGTGCGTGATATGTTTATTGGACGGAAAAACGTACTCAACACCTGACTTTGCGCAATTAGATAAATTACCCGATTACATGGATAGATACAAGAATTACGTCATGGATAACAGTGCCAAGAAATTAGATGTTCACAAGCCAGTATGCCTGCAGGATCCGATCGAGCTTAATCAGAATACGGCCGCAAACACGTCGGATCGTGCGTTAATAGCATTTCAGCATTGTTGCAAGTTCAGCGCCGATGTCTGCTCAACTGCTAGTGCAAATAATTACGATTATTTAGTGAGCATGTTATTCACCACAATTCCTCCTCAGTTGATACACATGAGGAAGAAGAGGAAGAAGTTTAAAAATATAATAAAGGCTGGTCGTTTCCTCCATGCTGGATTACCGGAAGACTTCGAGACACGTACAGACATTGCTAATAAGGAGCAATACATGAAGGATAACTGGTATTTCGTCACTTTTAATCTAATAAGAGATATCTTTGAAATGATCTTCAAGTTGCAAGTCGAGGTTCTCCTCGATCAAGAAACGAAGCAGCAGAAAATTGAAGTATTATCCGATGTACATACCAGAGATTACCAAAAAGTTACGTTTCACTGCACGGGAAATAAGTGCGTGTGGTACAATCGAAAGAAGAATAATAGGACACTTTTGGATCTTCAATTAAGTCTTCTGGAAAAAGAGGCGATCATGTCGGATAAAGTAATAGAGCAATTAAATGAACATGACAAAGCAAACAACATAAAACTAGATTTTATATGTACGTTGGAAAAGGCGGATAATCCTGTGGCGGTAATTATAATGTTGAACGACGAAAACAGTCAGAATCATATCTTTCGACAATTTGAGTGTTTCGTAAATAGTTGGATACCGAAAATAATAAACAAAACATTGCTACACATGCTGCAGTTCAAAAAGACCTATGATAAATTGTTGTGCCATCAGCAATCATGATAACGTTAACAATGTCATGTGCTTTGTATGAACCAAAAATTTAGTGATTTATTCCATATAATATCCTGTTAATATAATGTGTAATATAGTTTTGGTCATATTCATCTGACTAGATTGTTTTTATAATAATTTGGAAGATATTAATTACGCGTAAGTTCAAAGTGTCTTCAGAAAATACATAAGTAAAAAATACAAAAAACTAGCTCCTATTTCATGTTTTTCAATATTCGCATCACAATCAATATTATTTATTGAATCCACATGTAGTATCACAGTTGCAAACTGTAATCTCTTACAGTAAGTATAACCGTATCGTGGAATAAATGCAAGTTTTTATAAGCACAATACATATTTATATCTATCTCGCTCTTCTCATATTGAAAAATCAAATCAAGAAAACAGAGCTCGATATTTTATCTAAAAATTTAAAATTTCCTTGTCTTAAAATATTTTGTATTCCGTCTTTATTCAAAGTAAAAAATCGAGTTGTATTATACTGGTATATAAGCAGAGAAAATAAAGGTCTATTCTCTGTAGTGGAACTAGTGCGCACTTGAAAGAGATATACATATAATTATTAAAATTAACATACATTTATATTCATTGTTATGTTTGAAGTTCGGCGAAAACGAGATAAAAAGTTTCAGTGCAATCCAGTGTAACAAAAAAAAAAAAACAGGCCTTTGGACCTGTCTCATCCCGATTAACGTAATCTGCCGAATATTTTTACCATTAGAATTGCTAACAGTAGGATTTCAAAATTTATCTTCCTAATATCTATTCATAATAAAGAAAAAATGCGAATAATAAATTAAATTAGATATAAATTATAAATTAGAGATGGTAACTTTTCAATTTTAGTAGTTGACAATTTTTTTTTTTAAATTTAATCGGTCGATCTTAATCGGCATTTATATGTAAGATCGGCTTTTTATGGCTACTTGATTATTGTTGTTTATCAAATGTTAACGACAATTGCTTATAAGCGCCAAACTGAATGCAGCTCATGTCGGACGGCTGTTCAAATATAATTGTTTATGTTACACTTTCTACACTCGAAGGTGGATATAAAAGCTACGTTCTGCAATTCACACTTTTGGCGCTTGCAGCGCTGCCGCTCGCGGAATCGTTTAATCTATATGTTTATCAAATGCTAACCAATAATGGACCAATCATGCTCACAGCGCGTAAGCGTTGAAACGGAATGCAGCCAAGATTAGACGTTGAAAACCAAGAAGGGAAGGATTAAAAGTACAAAAAGTACAACTACAAAGAACAGAAATCAAAAATGTGCCTTTCTAAACCTATTTTCTTTCATCTTTTCTCCTATTCTCTCCAACACCTTTTACAGTATTTCACTTTGAGTGCCGAAGGTGTAGTATGTGGGATATTGTAGAACCAACAGCCGCAAAGGGGAGAACGGGCCTACGTTTATGTAAAAAGAAAAGAAAAAGCTGTCGGTTTAGTTCGACGAAATAAGATACAAGAGGCAAGATTGTTGAACGCGTTTTGTTTAAAATATCGTTAGAAGTGCAATTCGGTACAGTTTATAAGCGACAATACTCGATGGAATGTTGTTACAATTTTTATCACAATTGCGTTGATATAAAACGCGATGCACACTCGCCATTGTTATTGAAGAAACGAAACAACGAACACGTAAAAAAGATCGCAGAAATCATACGACGAGATCGTATGACTAGCACTGCGAGTGCTATACTTTTGATCTGGATTTAGGTTAGTTTCGCTAAGTGATTGGAGAACGTGGCGAGTTGAAGAAGGGGAGAGAACTCGTCGAGCAGGCACGTGTGTCTTCTCGTATTCGGATACTTTGCTCGTTTAGAATATTGCGGATTTGCATCGTCATTTATCGTTCCTTCCCCAAACGAAAATTCGACAATTTGTACAATTTTCGGTGTTTACTTGAGGCTGCATCAGGCGCTCTCTTTCTCACGCAACGGTTTAACAACATTGAGAACAAAACTGCAGAAATCTTCACGATTTAACCTTCCCAAAAAATCAACCACAAGTTACGGTGAAAGACCGTGTATCTCGATCAGGCTCAATCGTCATACTCGTGCTCCACATGGTGTGCATGTCGGAGCACAAAAAATTTACACGCTGTTTTGTGTTAAGACACTTCTATAAACTCCAAGTCGCATTGCCATTGTTGAAAATCTCGATAAACATATACTAAAGACATAAAAAAAGTATGCCCTTACGGGCGTATCTGTCTGGCAGGGATGAGATGCAAAACTTGTTGAATACAGCACAGTACATACAGATTGCAACAATAACTGAAATGGCATAATTCAATACCGCAAATCAATACCAAAAGTCAATTTGTTTGATCAGTTTATATGTGTATTTTCTGTGGAAATTCATAAGCAAATTGTGATACCAGTATAAATGCAAGAAGCACAATTAGATTTCATTTAGAAGTTACAAAAATATATTTTCTTGATTACTTCAGACTGAGACAATTGCAAATTGGTGAGCAACATGGACGACGCGACCGACAAAAACCGCGTTCGAATAAAAGAAGAAAAGGAAATTACAAGTACTACTGGCAAGATATACGTGAAGCAACCCCACCAGATTCTGGTGAATTCTTCCCTGAAAACTACCAACGATGATGAAGTGCAACGTGCGATTAAAGGTCTTAGAGAAATACCGGATGAAGAATTGAAAGAGTTCCTCGACGATGAGGACTTTATGGAAGGGCTGAACGTTGTGGATGCATGGGAAGGTGATGAAGATAAAAATCGCGAGCTCGAGCAAGACATGGCAGGGTCTACAAAGCAGGGAAAGAACCAACTCTCTAGGTAGTGTCATTAATGTAAATTATTTTTATATAAGACTATATTGTTACTATATTTGATATTAGAAATAAAACCGTTGTGTGCTCTAACAAGTGCAATGTTTTGTAAGGAAATAATCCTGACAATAACGCTATATCTTTTCTTAGTTAATTATATTAATTTGTAATGTAAAAATGTATTATGTTCTAATTTTAACAATTTAATTATAAGTTACAAAGTTACGTTGTGTCAGATAATTTTCACTTTCCGCTACATGTACAATATGTGTATATACAATAGATTATATTTAATATAGAAGTTTGCAAATAAATGATGGCAAGAGTAATTATAGGGAGCACCATCATCCCGAGCCTAAAGAATCCCATAAACGCAAGAAGACGAAGAGAGAAGAGAAGAAACGCGAGGAGATTCGGCGGGACCCTTTGAAGAGCACCAAGGATATCGAAAGGGACAAGATGCGAACGAAGAGAGACACCGAGAACAAGCTTCTTGCCGAAAAGGAGAAGGCGATCAAGCACTTGTTGGACTCGGACAACGTAGTCCCACCGGGCACGGAAACTGAAGCCATCCAAAGCATCGCGGAGGAACAGAATAGAGAACGAGCGCAACGTGAAGCACAGCGAAGCAGAGAGCACCGTAGAAGCAAGTCGTCAGAACGCTATGGAAGATTGAGCCCATCCCGGCGCAGAACGATCAGTCGAGATCGAACTCGATCGAGTCCCCATCGACGAAAAAGTCCTTTCACAAGCCCAGATCATCGTAGAAGCCCTTTTAAAAAAAGTCCTTACGGATACAGTCCAGGTAGACGGAAAATTTCACCGCGATCCTACGACCGGAGAAGTCCCATATTGAGTCCAGATCGACGAAGAAGTCCTAGACGACTTAGTGGAGAACGACGATCCAGCGTAGAAAGAAAATGGAGTGTTGAGCGACGTAGGAAACGCGTTGATTGGACGCATGAACGGTGAGGAGACATTCTTAACATTTTTGTTAAGAAATATTTAAATGCTTTAAATTTTTTCCGGTTAAAAAAAAAGGGATTTATAAGACTTACTGTCGCTTAGTTAAAAAATTTTTTTTATACTGCGTGCACAGTGAAGTCACAAATATCATTTTACAAATATATTATAATTAATAGTTTACAAAAGAAAATTTTTTGCATTTTAAATTTTATATATATATTAGAGTGGAGCGATTTCTAACCCCCTGTTGTGCATGTATTTTCGGAAAAGGCATAAAAAGTGATGAATTTTGGTAACAAACGAAAATTTTTTTAATGAATATCTACTTCTAAAAAATAAAAAAACATCGTTTTTTAAATTTTTATTTTATTTCAATTAATTATCGGTTTATTATGGTACATAATAATTGTTTCACAAAAATAATTTATTGCTGGAAATCTTTTTTTGTTTTACTTCTTGGCCTTTTAAGCTGAGATTCGATCATAGTAAATGCCATTCCTTCGCGTTTGATTGGGAGACACACGATGTCTTGATGACAATTTTAATGTGACGCTCCGTTGCTTATATATGACAAGATATTTCCAAATCTTTAATTGCAGCATCTGCGAACATATATCCGCGGATTTCATTGTCTGACATTGATCGCGAAAAAGCAGGTTCGGTCAAATTTACGTTTTTACCGTACGGTCATCGTATAAACTTCGACTGCAACGATTATATAGACATAATCGACTGAGAAAATGTAAATTTAATTGAACCTGCTTTTTCGCGATCAATGTCAGACAATGAAATCCGAGAATATATGTTCGCAGATGTTGCAATTAAAGATTTGGAAATACCCTGTCATATACAAGCAACGGAGCGTCACATTAACATTGTCACCGAGACATCGTGTGTCCCCCAAGCAAACGCGAAGGAATGGTATTTGCTATGATCGAATCTCGACTTATAAAAGGCCAAGAAGTAAAACAACAAAATATTTCCAGCAATAAATTATTTTTGTGAAACAATTATTATGTACCATAATAAACCGATATTTAATTAAAATAAAATAAAAATGAAAAAAACAATGTTTTTTTTATTTTTTAGGAGGGGTAGATATTCATTTAAAAATTTCCGCTTATCATCAAAATTCATCATTTTTTATACCTTTTCCGAAAATACATGCACAATAGGGGGTAAGAAATCGCTCTACCCTAATATATATATGTATATATATATAAAATTTTTGTGCGTATATATACATATATATATATATGTGTATCTCACTATTGTATTGTAGATCTATATATATAGACATATATATATATATATATATAGATATATATATATATAGATATACGATATAAAAATGTACTAGAATACATTTTAGTGATTATCTTGTGATTAAGCCGAAGAAGCCGATCTCGCGATCGGAGGAGTCGCAGTCCAAGAAGACGATCAAGCCGTTCACCAGTGAGCAGACGATACAGCCCTCGTCGAAGAAGTCGCACACGTACACGTAGCAGATCAATGGAGAAGCGTGTCAGGAAGCGTTCACCTTTTATCAATGAATTAGCGAGACAACTGAGAAATGAAGCGATGTCGACTGGCGTGAACACGAGTGGATACGTGCCGTCCGCGACGATGGAAGGAATCGCACCGTTACTTAACCCGCCCTCGTATAAACAAGAGATAGAATCGAGACCGCCGCTGCCAACGCAGCCGCCACAGCCGCCGCCGCCGCCACCACCGTCTGTAGCATCTCCGTACGCGCCACCGCCATCGGCTATGCTGTCATCTATGCCAAGCGGACCGCCGTTTATGAATTTCGAACCTATGCCGCCCGCAACACCGCTAATAAATTTCGAACCCATGCCTCCGCCATCCATGACTCCAGTCAGTTATTCGGCCGGTCCGGTCATGTACAATCAGCCGAATGCTGCCGCTATCCAAACACCTTCGCCATCAGTGATGTGCTCACCGTTGCTACCTGTACCTTCACCGCAGCCTGTACCCCCTCCGGTCATGGATCATGCGAATGTATCGTATAATCCATCGTATACCGTGTCCTTCGCCCAACAATCGTCAGTCCGTCAATTTGAACCTCTGAACAAACCTTCGAATCACTCAACCGCATCCACCACGTCGTCGCAGAATTACACAGAACATGGACCGGCGGCGTCGTCGTCGTCGTCATACAACGAAGCTTATTCTTCACACCAGGAACGAATGAAGACACCTGAACCGCCGATCATCTCCAAGCCCAAAGTAATTGCAATATATACAATAGTGATGAGTATTTGGTTTTGTTGTAAATTCGACATGTTTATCACTATGTGTCGAAATTAATAGACATTAATTTATTTTAATTCGCCGTATGAAAATTGTATTTGTTTCAATCATGTATTGTATTTGTAGGAAAAAAAATTAATTATTTTTATGACTTGATCTTGCAGCATTTTGAAAAAACCAGCTTATCCAGTCTATTGGAAGCATCTGTTTCAGCCAAAGGTGCGAGTATGTTTTAATTTATTATGTGCTTGATTGCTTAAAGATTCGCATGGAACTGTTATACAGTACAAAACTCGTATACAGAACTCGCATAGAACTTGTATACAGTTCACATTTTTGATTGATTGCAAGAGTACAACACAATATATTTCCTATGTATCCTATTTTTTGAACAATAACTAATTTTTGTTTTTATCACGTCTTTTAGATTCATCTAATATACCGGTACTATATCCAGGTAAGAACTTTTAAGTTTTCAAATTTAATTTAAATTGCTTATTAATTGCGCTACATAAATTGTATGCCATGTTTGATTAGATATGCAATCACAGTGTACTTTTGTTTAAAGACACTTTTCCTTTACATGATTTACAAAATGCGCGAATATTATAAGAAGCATGGCATGAAACATACTTTTGTAAGCATTACATGGCATGTAATTCGGTGTTTTACTCCACGCGACTCTGTTTTTTTTTTTCTTTCAATAGGATTCAAGCCTGAAATAATGCGACATTGCGAACAAGCGCTGTTCCAACTTCCTATGGAAGATCCGCGTTTAAAGATGAAGGGTAGATTTTTCTACGATCGTAGCGAGGAAGACAATACAAGAGACGTTTCCGAAGATCATACGTCGAATTCGATACTTCTGCAGAAAAGCAAGACCAAGATATTTTGGAAAGAGAATAACGCGGAACTGCCGATACCAGTTCCGAAAGCGACAACTCAAATGCATCAAAAGATTTGTCAGACAGATGAGGTGGAAACGGAAAGCAAGGGCGTGCAAGTATTTGTCACCACGGCCGACGTTGGATCACAGGTCTATCCGGACGATCTCCAGCAGATAGAAGAGAGACGGCCGATAATGGATCGTCTAGATTGGGGCGCGCGAGATACATACGAATATGGTTCCAAGTTTCGCGAAGTAGAGGATCTGAGATGGAGTCTGAGTAACTCTTCGCAGAGACGCACTTGGAACAGGCAGGCGTCTCCTTCTAAAAGATCTGACGAACAGGAGCGTCATTTAGATTCCATGGAGCATGAATCTAGAGGCTTAAGGCTGGAGTCTCCTGTTAGAAGCAGAGATGATTTTTCTGCTCATTCTAATGTGCGTGATCACTATAGTCATGATAGGTATTCGCCGGATTATCATAGACGTTCTATGGAGCGCGATGACTTTCATGACAGAAGAAGCGATCATAGTCGTGGAGAAAGTCCGATGGAATTAGAAGAATCCGATGAAGAATTGATGACTGGCCATACATTCCAAAGAGGATCTGATTGGCATGGAAGAGGAAAAGTAAAAGGTAAAAGTCATCATTTACGAGGAAAGCACGTAGCAGGAAGGCCGTATCGAAGTCGCGGAAACTTCCGGGGCAAGTTTTAAAACTATTCAGTACATGAAATATCGTTTTAACATAATATATGACCAATTTCATTAATATCATATATATGTGTATATATGTATGCATATATAAATTATACATGTATATATATATATATATATATATATATATATATATATATGTATATAAGTAAAAAGCAGCAAGAAATATTTGAAACAATATATAAACCAATGATCAATTAACAAACTGATACTGATTTTGATGATATTTTGACGTGTGCATGGAATTATTAATGTTGAAAGATAATAAATGAAGAGAGAATATAATTTTCAGGATAAATATTCAGGATAAGTATGAATTTATAGGTGAACAACAGTGAAAAAATAATATAGAGCATGATGAACGATTTGCTCAAACATTTTTACGTGCTTAACCAAAGGAGTAATGCATACCATCGTTGAAAAGAGCATCAGTATCTGCAAAAACGCCATGTTGCCATCTGTCTTTGTTTTGTACTACGAAAGTTGTTACAATCAAAATGATGTTACATACATATATATATATATATATATATATATATATATATATATACATACATACATACATGTAATCTTACATCATAATAGGTATGACAATTTGACACCAACACTTTCTACCATATTTTATTATGTCATTTATTGTGTATACAACGATACTACGACAGTTTCAGTGTAAAAAGAAAACACAAAATACGATCTTGTAACTGAGAAAACACGGTGTATATGTAATGAAAATGTAACGAAGATTGAAAACCAAATGTAATAAAAATTTAAAACAAATAATAAAAGTTACGAATTAAATGTTTATTGCAGAAATTATGGAATTATAGTGTGTAGCAATTCTGTTTTTCATCTTGAAGATAATCTTATTGAAAAAATACTATCTGTTATTACTTATTACATATATCAATATATTAATTAACTGTATTTATAATGTTATCATAACTACAGGGACTCTAGTCTGTTCAATAAGTCATTATATAGTGTTAGAAATATATAGTTAGCCATAAATTTATTTTTAAATTGTATCTTGTTATTTTTTTGTTAGAGATCAAACAATGTTTGCTGCGAGCTAATCCCGAACAATATGTATATTGTATGGTGCCGCTCAAGTATTGCATCATGTTATGCAGTCTGCACTGCAGTTTTGTTCTGTAATGACGGTTTTGCATATTATTCGTAATTCTTTTTATGCCTTTTTAATTACTTTCATTCGCGCTATTTTTTATCCTATTTTGTATTTTGTATTGTGATTTTCACAGGAATACTGTTTTATTGAGCCATCTCATTAAGGTATAACTAATATATAGTGATAATTATGAAGCAATTTTCTATTGAAAATTTCTCTTAAAATTATTCATGTAATTTTTTAGAATTCTTTAACTGTAAGAATTTTTCACAATTTTTATATAATTTTATATTTTAGAAAATTTCAGATTTTTTTGTACAAATTAAAACACTTTAGAAATGCTAAGGTTATATTTTTTCTAGAATTTTTTTTATATATGTAAATTCTAAAATGTTCCAAAATTTATTTTATTATTTTCGAAGAAAACTTATAAAATTTGAATAAGTTTAAGATATTTTTAAAAATTTTGATAAATTTAAAGTATAAAAAATTTTTGAAAATATGGAATATGAGATTTTTTTCATCAGGTTATTACAATGCAAGTATCTGTGTACTTATTAATAAAATTTTCGATTGTTTAACGCTACATTCTTTTTTCTTGATAATTACATATTGAAATATATAATTATATTGAGAAAAATACAGTTTTTTTTAGTCAACGAATTATTTAAAAAAATTGAATAAAAATTTTTCAAAATAATTCGAATTGCAAGTAATTCTTCGTAATCGTGCTCTGTAAATAATGTTTATGACTTTCTTCAAGAAATTTGTTGAAGTCTCTCAAGCCTCATAATGTATGTATCTTAATTGTATTAACTGATGTTTACCTGTATTTAATAAATAAAAACTAGTTTTTGTAATTTAATAAAGGGGACAATTATTTAGAAACATGTTCATATCAGTAGCGCTTTGCGAAGAAATAATCGCACTTTTAAGCTCAACGTAAATCCCTAGCGGCGCGTTCGTCAGAAGTTAATTGCGCTGCAAATTGCATTCTTTTAATCTTCCAGCACTGCCCGTTCGATTCAAATTACTCTAGCGAGCAATTTATACTGCAATTTAGCACACATTCAGTTTATGAATGTCCGGTTTAGATTGCCCGCGAATTCCACTTGGCTTTGCCTCGGATATGAACGCATCATCGCGAAATCACTCAATGATCTCGGCGGAAATCTTGGAGGATGCGACAAGTCGGCCACGCCGCGTCAAGTCGATTTCCCGATTACGAAGCGCAATTCATGACTCATCCTGACTTGTTCGCTCTTTTCAATGAAACGTTCTTTATTCTCTTGACCAATTCCCGTTTTCCTTTGACTTTGCAGCAAATTAGCTTTTCACTCAAAATCCAATCGTCCAATGATTGGAAACTTGGAAGTTTAAGAATTATAATCAGCCTTCAATCGCTGAATCTACGCGGCTGCGTTTTTTGTATGATGAAATGACACAATTATATACTTTCTGAAAAAGCGAAACGACTACATTTTTCATGAAAGTTTAAGTTTTATATTTAATAGTAATCGGTCTTATTCACAGTTACGGAATGATGAAATGATTGGAGGCTGAAACGTTCACTTTGTTCCAATTGAACGAATTTGTTGATTAATTCAACTTTTCGATTTCATTTTGCAAAAGAAAATATACTTTCTTTTTTATTTTCTTGATTTTGGACCTACACAATAATCCATTGTAATCGCGCAACACCACAATTATTAACTAACTTTACTAGAACGAATTTTGTTTTCTATTTATGATATATATATATATATATGTATATATATATTTTTTTATAATACTTTTTTTTTAATGTATTATTCTATACGTTCTTTGTAAAGAAAAAAAAAATGTAATTCTTTCAAATTTTGGACTCAATATGTGGAGCTTCTTGGCAAGTTTCATTAAGATTGAGGCAAAAATCCCATTTTTACATCAAGCTCTGCATAGAGAAGAATATAAAAAGAAAATGTTTTTTGAAAAGAAAAGAATTTCTTTTTATAAATAAAACTGGAGAATATATCGAATCAATATCGCTCTCACATAAATCCTTTAACAAGACGTGACTCTAGTACATTCACACCGAAGTTATATACTTAACGGGATTTCGTTATACAAAGAGATAATTGAATTAAATATTAATATCAATTTAATGAATGAAACTGTATCATTTTGATATTGAGATATTGCCACAGCGGCCTATATAAATGGCATGTAGCGCCGAGGCGGGCTGGTCGGAGGCGCCATCTGGCGCGAGTCGGGGGCATCCGCTGTTGTCAAGCGGCGCGATATCGCGTTGGCAGACCTGCGGCAGGCGCGACGGCGCGGCCCCGAACAGCCCCGAAGGCCGTATTTCGGTACGCGGTCGCGCGCGCGCACGCAATCGTTCTCTCTCTCTTCCTCCACCGTCACGACGTTGGCGCCCCTTGCGCGCCGCCTCGCGGCCGATTCGCCAATTATTCGGCATGGATCCAGCTCCATGTTCGCCCGTGAAAGCGATGCGGTGTCCCCGCGGTTAGGACGTTGTACGATTCTCGTGTGTGCTGCGGGAACGTCGCGCGTTACCCGTCGTGCAAGCCGCGAGCTCGAGCGCCCGCTCGACGTCGTCGCGATCGGTGCCCGTTCGTGCGCGTCCGCGAGTCAGTGGTGCGTCGGACAACCTCGTCTCGTGTGTCTCGGTGTGGCGTGGCGGCACAGGAGCAGCCGCAGCAGCAGCAGCAGCAGTAGCAGCAACAGCAACAGCGGCGGCGGCGATCTTAATTCGGAGCAGCTCCTACAAGGCGTCCGCGTCCGGGGACCTTGTGGAAGCCGATCACGGCTGCGACGCGAGCTGGCGAGGAAGAACGCTCGTCGGTGCGTGTCGGCGGTGGCGACGGCGACGGCAGCAGCGGCGGCGGCGGCGCGTGCTGCGAGGACGAGGTGAATGCACGGCGGCCGCGGTGTGTGCCAGTGGTGTGCGCGCTCGTCGCCCGTGGAAACCCGCCAAAACCCGCGGCCGCGAACAACCACCACCACCACCACCACCACCACCACCACCACTACTACTAACACCACCACTACCATCATCATCATCCCCAACATCGCTACTGTCAACAGTAGGAACAGCAACAACAGAAACAACGATATCAACAACGTCGGCGGGAGTAGGATCCTCTCGAGCGACGGCAACGACGACGACGTTAACGGCGACGTCGTGGGCAATAGCTACAAAAATCCCGTAACGGGCTACAGCGGCAACAACAAAAACATCAGCAATATCGGCAACAGGGGCAGCTGTCGCGGTGTTACTTGTGTACGACGACGACGACGACGACGTTGTTGTTGTTGTTTTCGCCGTGCCGTCTCGTCGACTGCGGCGTTGTCCCGGCACGTCGGGTCGTCGCGCCGTTTTTCCCACGACGCCGCCGCCGGTCACGGCTGGTCTCGGGCGGTGGTGGAGGAGAGGAAGTAGAGAGAGGAAGGTCGTCGCGCTCGTGTGACAGCGACGGGGCAACGGCGGCGGCGACAACGACAACGGCGGCAGCGGCAGCGACCGCCCAGCTCACGCGCTGTCGTTGGCGACAGCGGCGTCGGCGGCTGCGTTCTGTTATTATTTTGCCGCGGTGCTTTTGACCCTTCGTGCCGGGCGAGTTCATTGCGGCGCTGTCGCGGGGGTGTCAGCCGGTAGTACGTCCGCACCGCACTCTCCACCGCGTATCCTCCTCCTCCTCCTTCTCCGTCCGTCTGGCGGCAGCAGCGCCGGCGTCGACGGTACGGGCGCCTCGTGATCGTCAAGCGCGAGGACGGGAGCGGCGGAGGTTCGGGGCGCGTCCCTAAGGCGCCCCAAGTCGGTCCCGCGGGGTCCGGGCACCCCCGGACTCTCGTTCGTGGAAAGCGGAGCCGAAGGACATCGTCGACCAGGGAAAAGAAGCAAAAACGCTTCCCCCCCTTCCCCGCCCTTGCTCGCGTGGAGCACGATACCGCGATCGCGCGCGCGAGAATAAACCACGTGATAGTCGTCGCGACGGCGGGACGAGCGAACGGCCCCAGCAGTAAAGTCAGTCAGTAGTCCGCGAGGCTGCGCGGCGTCACGCGGTGACGCCGATGACCATAACCTGAAAGAGAGCCGGCGCGACACGCACTCGTCGAGATATTTACACGGGATTCGTATATATATATATAGCGACGCTCCGGCGAGGCACGCGGCAACACGCGCCTCCGTTTCCCATCTGTCAAGCCGCCGCGTCCGTGCAGTCCCTCGTTCTCTCTTTTCTTTCGTTCGCGCGCTGCACGAACGAAAACAAACGGGCCCTCGAAACGCGGGGTTATTAATATACCACCTCGCCACCTGATCCGGTGGCGCGCTCGCGTCTCTGTTTCGGAGTACGGGGCTG